AATATCCCGTCGGACGTGACGACTCTGGGATTTATCACTCTCATAATACTCGCGATGCATTTCTGCCCACGAGCGCGCGAAAATCCGAGAAGGATCGATAATTCACGCGGTGAAAAATAACGAGGATTTTAAGTTGGACGTGTTGGACGTAGTATTTAAGCTTTAAAACTGACTTACGAGGATAGTTATCGAACCTGGACATTCTAAAAATTATAAAATGTGTGTGTGTAAGTACAGTAAGTCAAGCCTCTCACATTGCAGCACTGCATATTAATTTTTTTCGCCAACTCTTATCATTCCCAAAATAATCCATGGAAAAGAATAATTTGCATTTTCTTTAATGGGTGGTTGCACCTCTTCAAAATGAAATTTGAAATTACTTACACACATATTTCGTAATTTTTCGAATTTCCAAGTTTGACAACTCCTCTTGCTGGATTTATGAATAGAAGTTTTCATTTTTCTGAGTACTTATTGTTAATAAAGTAATTCTAATCGATACAGTTGCGAAAAAGTTGTAAAGCATGAGAGATCGATGCGTTTTATAGAATCAAAGAATGAAAATATTCCAGATGAATAATAAGAAGATTCTAAATGAAGAATAAGATTATAATCTAGATGAACAATAAACTTATCAAACGAACAATAGAAAGTATCGATTTCTAAACAAAGGTAATGACAGAAATAAAAATGTTTAGTGCAAATGAAGAAGGAATATCTGCGTTTCATGATCATCCTCCTTTCTCTTTTCTATCTACGATCGTCCAGGGTTAATCCGCGAAGAAGGTCGATCGTTATTTCCAGCATTTTCATCGATTGTCATTCAACTAAAACACCGCACAGAGAATGGAATCTGCCTGGCGCAACTTGACAAAAGATCCCACGCTACCGGGGGCCATGGAAGTCCCTATCGGTTCGTCGAGAAATTCAATAATACTTTGTACATAGCGGCAGAAAGTAAAAGAACGTGTACCTACGTACATAGAGGAGCGGCTAAGAAAGACGAAGCCATAACAGAGGTCTGGAACGGAGAACAGGGGCTGACCTCTCGCTGATTAGATCACTCAGGAAATTCTGCGCGATATCCGGCACTCGGGGATACCGTAACCACCGCTACGCGGAAACTTTTGCTTTCCGCCTGGTTCCGGCATACTTTTACTGTTTCGCAACGAAGTCGAGCGGGATCATTTTCGAAAATGCTTAAGTGAAACGTGCATTCCGTGGAAGTTTGGCGGCGTTAAAAATAACGGGCACGGATGTTCGCATGTTCAACTGTGCTGTGATCTTCAGTTTGCATGCGTGTTTGGAATACCATTGAGAAAGAAGAAGCATGTACAGTCGTCTCTCAGTTTACGCGGCATTTTTTTGTACGGTAAATTATTTTTGTTTTCTGAAATATCATTATTATTACTTTTTTCTTAAGGCATTTGGAATAAATATATATTTCTAAAACTTATACCAGCTTCCCTTTCCAATATTTTGTTTTCTTTTGTACCGACAGACCCTATTTACGCGATTGTCATTTGCGTAACGGATTTTAGTGTAAATCGGGGGTCAGGTGTATACACTATTAACAATATTTTGCAATTTCTTCTAATTTAAATGCATTTTTATAAAAGTCAGATGCGAATAAGTGAAGAAAAGTAATTGCCATGGTGTTGAAAAGAAGAAAAACTTGTTGGCATTTAGAGAAATAATATCTTGGGTGAAACAAAAGCAATTGTACTTAAAACTTTCTTTGGGAGTGTAAGTGGTAATAATTTATGTTGAATATTTTAAGTTGGACAAGTATTATGTTTTTAATATTTCGCGACTAATACGATCGAGTAATTAATGAGTAGTTCGGTAATTCTAGAGTGAAAACAAATCAACAAGGATGTCTCGTTGTGCATAAAGACACGTTCATTGAAACTTTCGGCGCATTCGGATTTATGTTACCAACGACTGGAGCTCGTTATGTTTGAGATACTACGGCGGCGCACTGGTTTCGACAAATTAGCATTGGAATTATGGCTCGAAGTTGGTTTATTACTACGCACTTTCGGCTAACACGTTCCTGGAGTCCTGGTTTCCGAACTCAATAGCTATTGACATGTCGTAAAGCTCAGGATGTAACAGCAATTTAAAAATAAATATGAATCTGACGGTAGACAAGGATAGTAAAAGTTTCACAGAATTCATAGCACTTGGCAGCATTAATAATATTGACTATTATCTTATAACCATTATTCTACTGTGAATATTTAACAATATAAAGGGTAACACAATTATGTTTCTACATTAGCGCGTTAATAAACGCAAATCTTTATAAAATAATAACAAAGCAAGTTTGCATTCATAAAAGAAGCTTCCAAACAATGTACGAACGAATCAGTTTTTATAAGCGACCTGTGACCGGTTAAGAGTTCGTTCCACGAATTAACGCGCCACCAGAGACAAGAATTTAAATAGCACAATAGTAATAATTACAATAAAGTTATTGCTACATACATTTCGCGAAAATATAAGAACCTAATTAGTACTTTATTCAACGATTGAATTATCCAGTTACCATCACCGTAGCGCAGTAATTACTTTATGCCAATGGTTCATTGGCGGGTAATATTGTTGCATTAATAAGTTATACTATTGTGCCAAGAATAACGACGTTGCGTGGCTGGTTTCGTGCAGTAATAACAACGTTACGATCTGCATATTGACATATCATCAGCATGCCGGTAATATTTGCGTTACGAAAATTATTCAGTTCCCATGGAATGCAAAATCGTTCGAAATGGTCTGTTATTATCGATTATTTTTATCAGTTTTCGCGAGAATAACATTCTGATCCCCGGTTACTTAGAACAAGACCCGCGTGAATCATCCATAATTATTCGAACGACGCGACACGACCCTCGTAATCTGGCAAGTATTTGCCGGGCCGATGAATGGAATTCGCAAAACGCTGACGCGTGTCGCGGCCCACGGAATCACACGCGCGGCGCATACCACAAATTGCTCGTGTCCAAACCGTGCGAATCTGATGAAACGCCCTTTAAATCCTGAAATGCGCCGGATGACGCATCGGTAACGGTCGCGTGAAAATTTGGATTCTTTCACTCGGATTTTAAATATTTGGGATACATTTTTTCATTAGTATTTCGAATATTTTGAATACAGGTTTTTTCTTATTGGAATTTTCAATATTTCGATCACATTTTTGTATTAGGATTTCATATACTTGAAATTAATTTTTGTAGTCGGATTTTAAATATTTGACAGAAATGTTTACATTCAAATTTTCAATATTTCGATCAAATTTGTTCATTAGCATTTTAAATACTTGAAACGCAGGTTTTTTTTATTGGGATTTTCAATATTTTGACCACATTTTTGCATTAGGATTTCAAATATTTGAAATGAATTTTTGTAGTCGGATCTTGCATATTTGAAAAAAATGCTTACATTCGAATTTTCAATATTTCGATCAAATTTATTCATTAGCATTTTAAATATTTGAAATGAATTTTTCCATTCGGATTTCTGATACTGAGAGTAAATATTTTTATTCGAATTTCACATGAAACGCTTTTGAATTACGATCTACTTGTAGAATGTAAAATAAAATGAGCATACTTGTCAAGCATTCGATGGCATAAATATTGATGGAATTATATTGAGATGATTAAAACGTAACAACGTTATTAAACTTTGAATAGAGGATTATTGGTCATGAATTCTGTGTATGTATTGTACTTCACTTCGATGATAATACTTCTGCCGGTTGAAGAACAATCCACTGTTAATGTTTGCAATTGAAACATGAGGGCAGTGGTTAATTAGAATATTATATATCCCCCTTCAATATCTTCATAATTATTAATTCATCGTACCATTTCACGTATGTTTCGTATTTGGCCGAATAACATATGATGTTTAAATTTGAATTCCTTTTAACAATTTCGTATTGGAATATTATTATCGCCATAACGCTTCCTACTTCAATAATATTTGATACGCACGTCTTTTTCTGTCAATATTTTATCATTTCATATTATATTTCATAATGCATTTTCAAAGATAATAAAAAAAAATTACTCTTATATTATATTCATACTATTTGAAATTCTGTAACAGAACAAAAGTTCCGAACATATTCCGAGCATATGAATATAAATCACGAGTTAACTCGACTTTTCAGTTAACAGTTTAATCACTCTATCTGTCGGGAAAGTCTCATCTTTTTCACGGTCGTCTGTTCTATAATTAAGGACCTCCATTAATCGTGAACCTCTTCAATGTTAATTTTGTGAACATCCTCCGTCCGTGGCGATAATAAAGATGCTGCTATAGCTTCCGGCATATATGCATCATATATTATATGTATACATAGCACTATACACGTACGTTATTATGTATTATGTATTGCCGTGAAATCCTACGCTTGCGGTTGACAAGGACTTGGCAATGACGCAGGCACATCGATTGTATCATTAATGCTTAATCACGGATAGTGCCTCGTAATCGTGTTACCTTTGTCCTGTACGAATATTAGATACCCCGGTCGATTACTCATCGTCAAAGTTGCAAGCCTGGAAAACTTGACTTACGTTCTGACTGTTCGAACAGCTGACGATTTTCGCGGTTACCCTAACCTGTCTCGAAGGAAATGACGAATCGCGGATTCTTCATGTTCAAGATATTTATAGCAACACGATCGGGGGGTTGACAAATTTATTGAGACAAATAACTGTACTATAAGACAAATTCCTTCACTTTGATGGAATATATCTTTACTCTGCTAATTGATACTTCTTGAAATTTTATGTTTTACAAATTTCACAAATTTCTCAAAATATACAAACTTTACAAACAATACAAATTCTACGCATTTCGTTAGACATATGTTAATGCAATAACTGAAAATAATTGTTAGTTGAAATTGATGTAGGTGCATTTTCAAAAAACTGATTAATCAATTAATAAACATCAATTGACGAAAATCTGTTTTTCTTTTCCAGTCAGCCCCGTGTGTCATCAAGGTCAAGTAAAAGTATTCGGCGTAGCCCGACAAGAGACCGCGCGAATACCATGCGAGCTCGTCGCGAATCCACCGGAAGTAACGTTCACCTGGAGGTTTAATAACACAATGGAAGCGGTAGATATACCCCAAGCACATGTTACAAGCGAGCGAACGCGTTCAACAGCGTCTTACACGCCGATGACAGAATTAGACTACGGAACTCTACTTTGCTGGGGCACGAACGATCAGGGCACTCAACTGGAACCCTGCGTTTACCACATTGTCCCGGCTGGTGAGTAAAAATCCTCAGGTTCACCATTATCATTACTCATATCCTTCTGCATTCATATTTCCCATCCAAATTTCAATAACAAATAACGCAATTTCAAATTATTTAGGATTTACTAAAATCATTCACCAGGAAACCTATTTATTTTGATTAATTTACGAAAACTTTGATTCACCTAGATGTTTCCAATCTAATACCACTAATCAGAATCAATTTACCTTCTAATAAACATCTCTCACAATTTATACAATCGTAGACTAACAGAACTATACCCAAGATCATAAAAAGAATATGCGAAAAAAGATAAAATTCCACTCTAATATCCTAACCTGTTCGACTTTCGGCTTATTTAATCCAAGGAAAAAAGTTCCCGCGGTCCGGAAAAACTGGCGCAACGTGTGCCGAGATAATACGAGCGCTGAAATTGTGTCCGCGCGAGAGTTGTACCGCGGAAAAGCAAGCGGTGCGGTACAGGCCGGATGCTTTATGGAAAAACTTCGTTTTTAATTATGTAACAGTCCTTGCAACGGAGGAAATTAAGATTTTAGTAAATATAAATCGCCGGGATTTATGGCGGAAAGACGCGCGCGGAGTAATCCGCGTAGAAGTGTCCCCCGCCGCCCACGCGCCCACCCCCGGGAGACGAGGCGGCTTGATAGACGTAAATTAGATTTAAAAAGTTTCCTCATTATGCAGATTAGAAACAAGGACGTCCGTTGCCACGGCAGCTGGACGTCGTCGTCGTCGTCGTCGTCGCCGCCGCTATTCCCATTCTCCTCTTCCTCTTTTTCTCTCTCCTCTTTCGCTTCCCTGACCTCTTAACGAGACGTAACTCGAGAGAGTGCCGGGTGCTCGTTCCGTTTGAAATGACTGAATTACAGGCAGCATTTTTCCCAGTCGAACGGCCACGAGTAAATAAGGCGCTGCGCCGTGTAGACACGCCGTTATGCGCTGTTGTAAAGCACCGACGGATCTTTGTCTCGGCGTCCTTCGATCGTCCCTTTGAGACGCATGCACTGCGACAGTGCCCCGTTCCCTTACGCAAAGAGGTTGTTATCCGTGATCATCGGTAGCTGCCCGATTACAAGGGCTACGTTCACTGGACACTGGAAATGGTGCGAAACGCGAGAACGACTTCGAGCTTTACGAAATACGAAGGTGCTTTCTTGGAGCCAAAATTGAAATGTCCTTTGTATAAATTTCGTTCAGTAGACATTTGCGATTACCTTCAATTATACGTGATCGATTTTATGAGAAGGGTCGTTGTCATAAAGAGCAGTAATTTCCTTTAACCCCTTGTGCTACAATATCGTGTCAGACTCACAGTAAAGGTTACAAATAGAATTTAACAAACATAAATATTGTTGAATTTGTTTGAATGTAAATCACATATTTTTCTTCTGTTATCAATGACTATACCTTCGAGCAAACATTAACATGGAATAAAACTAGAATTTTCTCTTATTTTCAGTAAATTGTTAATGACAGAGTAATTAGATCGATTACAATTCAGAAAGAAATCATAGGGCAAGGGGTTAAACAAGAGCAGATTTTTGGTAAAAGGGAAACTTTGTAGCTGAAATTGAAAAGCCGTGGTAACTTACTTTTAACAAGGACAAAAATTGAAAGCACCTTTGTATTTATTATTTTGAACTGTAATTTATGTTTGTAACAAAGACTTTGAATTCAATTTAATACGAACATTGCTCATTGTTTTTTTCTTTTGAAAAAAGATCTCTTATCAATAGTTCATGTGTGCAGAAATATAAATTTACGATGAACATAGAATTCCGTTTCCATCTCCGTACATTATCAACCCTACAGTGGCCCCAATGATCACAGCTGCGAGAAACGCCTCAAAAGGTTAATCCAACGTCTTCAGATTTACTCAACGAAAAACCAGCACCGCGCGAAGGGGATCCAGGGAATTTTTTAAAAGCCCTCGCACCGTCAGCGAACTTTCGCGAAGTTTAATCTGAAGAGCGTGTAAAAAAGCAGGGACGAGGAAACGATGGGTAGGCGAAGCGCCGAACAGTCGGAAAGGGGGAAGCAGCTCGTATACAGGCGCGTCAATACGTCACAGAATGGGGTTCAGCGGCGGGAAAGGCCTTAAACCACCGGAATGGGGCAATAAAAACCGCCATTAAGGCGAACGTTGCATAAAACCGGGGGTGTTTCGATCCGGAGTACGCTTCGGTCCCGAAGCCGAATGGAAACGCAAAACCTAACCTCGTTAGCCCGCGCCGGTTGATTAAAGACGGCGAAACGCCATCGTTCGTGGAACCTGGCACTTGGCCGCGTACGTGAGACCATGTCCGACATCTTTGTATTCCGCCTTCGTTGTGGGTGAACGTTTGTCGCAGTAGTTGCTTGAACTTCGACTTCACCCCTGTCCCGCCACGTCGTTCCTCTATACCTTTGCCGCAATCACGGTGACTTATCTCTGAGAGGTTCCATCGCGAGAACACATGGAAGGACAGTTCGGTTTTCTTTATCTTGGGTCCGAGGGATCTTTACGGCGACTTTAACTGTCGATGGTTAAACCATCTTAACTGCTACTTTACGAAAACAAGGTTATTGAGATGGCTGTTCGTGGGACAAAAACCTTGTTAGCGAATTGTTGAGCGACCGAGTGACGCGAGATTTATTTTTATAAATCAATTACAACGTATTACCCTATTTCTATGAGGTGCTTGTGTCACAATTTTTAGATTTCAGTATAGCTAGGCTCAAGTCGAGGGTCTTAGCAACTCCAGACTTCGCCTTCAAGATTGCATGTGATTAATTCCTCAGTTCCACAGAACAGAGAATCTAACACCTACCTGCAGAATCCATATCCTAACCCAGACCTAACCCAAACTATCGGCGAAACGTAGCTATCCTAGAGACATAGGTAAGACCCCCGAATTTTACCCCTGGAGGATAGAAGCGAAGGGGTGGGTAGAGGCAGACAGAGAGCGAGTCAACCGCGCCACTAATTATTTACTTCTTCAGGTCACCCGGACACGCCACACAATTGCTCTCTTCAGAACCAAACTACGGACTCGCTGTACGTGGAGTGCACCGAGGGGTTCGACGGTGGTCTGCCACAGAATTTCACGATCCAGGTAGACCGTGAGGCCGGCACCAGCAGCAGCGGCAACGCGCGGACCAGGCCGAACAGAACAGTGTACAACCAGACGAGCAAAGTTCCATCGTTCTCGGTCGGGAACCTCGAGCCTGGCACCAGCTACGAGATCTCCGTATACGCGAGCAACAGCAAAGGTCGCAGTGAGACGGTCCGGTTCCGCGCCACCACCCTGAACCTCCCCGAAAGACGCACAGGTGAGTTTGCCGCCGTCCTTTGAAGCGGCACCCGAGAAACCCGAGGTCAGATCGATCGTTACGATGCCTGATGCTCGTGTCGGCGGCCCGTTAAATCGACGACGCGCACTTCTATTGCGAGTTTCCTTTGAGCACTGTCTGCTACGCTGCACGGCCTTGCATCGTAGAGCTCACGTGATTATCTATATTTCTTCTTAGTACTGCTCACCGAGATTCCACGTCTCTCCTGACCGCCTCGGTCCTTTTCCGGCGTGTTATCCTTTTCCCCCGTCTCTCTTGCCACCAGTGTTTCGTCCGTTCTCTGTCGCATCTGTTCCTATCTCTCTATCACACACTCGCGCGAGATGTCCTGTACCCACTTTAGACAAGCACTGTGCCCTTTTATTTAGGGTTTGGAGATTGGAAACGAGTGAATGCCGCGGATCAGCCTTCGGTGGACGGGTTTTGATATAGGATTTAGAAGCTCCCTTTTGACGATGATTCGGATCGAAGAAGACAACGTCGGATAAAAGTTGATAATGAGTTTGAGGAACCGGAGGTCTGATCAGGCGATACGTTTGCTGAATAATTTAGAGTTTTGAACAGTGATAGTCTTATAATTAATAGAGATATATTTGTGATGTATCGGATTAATTATGGGATCATTGAAAATAATTATTGTATATGTTGATTGGAAAACCTGTGTCTCTTCCAACTTATGGATATGAACGTTAGAATCGTCTAGAATTTAAGTAATCCAATATTTTAGGCTTTAGAATTCAATTACATGAAAAAAGTACAAAGTTTCTTTAACCTACAATCCAACTGATCATTTAAAACTTAATCCTCGATTCCTACAGAATCCTGTTACAGTAAACAAAAATAAAACCTCATTAATAACCTAACTAACACTGTGGAACAAATTTGAACTTTTTTTGTTTTTTACAATAACCACTAGGTGATTCTTATAAAGTTCCTTACCCTAAATACGAATCCGAAAACTAAATTGCTGGGTCATGTTCAGTTTTCGAAAAAACTGGATTTTTGTAAAAACGGTGGAATTTTTCAGAAAACCAAGTGTCACGTGAAAACTAAAAACAATAGGCAGTTAAGATTTGTCGTAGAAAATAAAGGAGATTTGCCCGAACACGTAGCTATAAAAAATTTGAATTTTGCGTATCATTAAATGTTTGAAAACGATGATCGAAGTTTAAAAAAGGGTATATACGCGTACTTTGTATGCACTTCTGTTACATTTCTACGAAAAGTGGGTTGGCTAGCACGATTTGCTATGCACCATTGGATTCTGCAGACATTTCTGAAGAGGAATCCCTCCGCGGGAAGCGTGAGATCGGTTTTTCTTTGGGACAGGGTAAGAAAATGTCCGCGAATAGCGCGAGCACGGAACTTTCGCGCTACACGACCACCGCTCGCCAGCCACAGCTATGCAGGGCCGTGACTACGCGCTGTATGGACCTGAACCCCGGTCACTTCTTATATGTATATATAATGTTTAATTGTTTAATAAATTATAGTTAGGAGAAAGCTTTTCACGATCGTTCTGTTTAGAATAGTTTCATGTTTAATATAATAATTTAATGTAATATAATATAAAGGAAAAACATTATTGTAATCGGTTTTTTACATGTTACACCTAATGGTATTCTGAATTCAAATAGAGTATTAAATTTGACGTAAAAAGTTATTACACAAAGTAGGATCTACAATGGATGTTTACTAAAGTATTTTTAAGTTAACACTAAAACTACTAAGTATACCCGAATATTCGTTACAGTTCAAGTAAGCTTAATCAATTTTCAAAAACATTTCAGATATCTATTATCTTCAAGATATTAACAATCGAAAGATAATACAATTTATACCGGATATCTTGTCTGATTCAATAGTTTTATTGATAACCGTCGTAACAATATTATTCGTATATGTGTATTCACATATTAAACAGCAAATTATTTAAAACGGACCGATCGTGGAAAGCTTTCTCATAACTATTATGAAAATTTATAAAACAATTAAACATTATATATACATATAAGAAGTGACTGGGTTCTAGGTCCATACAGCGCGTAGTCACAGCCCTGCATAGCTGTGGCTGGCGAGCGATGGTCGTGTAGCGCGAAAGTTCCGTGCTCGCGCTATTCGCGGACATTTTCTTACCCTGTCCCAAAGAAAAACCGATCTCACGCTTCCCGCGGAGGGGTTCCTCTTCAGAAATGTCTGCAGAATCCAATGGTGCATAGCAAATCGTGCTAGCCAACCCACTTTTCGTAGAAATGTAACAGAAGTGCATACAGAGTATGCGTATATACCCTTTTTTAAACTTTGATCATCATTTTCAAACATGTAATGATACGCAAAATTCAAATTTTTTATAGCTACGTGTTCAGGCAAATCTCCTTTATTTTCTACAACGAATCTTAACTGCCTATTGTTTTTAGTTTTCACGTGACACTTGGTTTTCTGAAAAATTCCACCGTTTTTACAAAAATCCAGTTTTTTCGAAAACTGGACATGACCCAGCAATTTAGTTTTCGGATTCGTATTTAAGGTAAGGAACTCTATAAGGACCACCTAGTGGCTATTCAAAAACAAAAATCGTGTTCCATAGTGTAATGAATTATGTAAAATCCAGCTGACCCTAACTTCCAGTTTCCAGTTGCAATCCAATTACAAAACAGCCTAGAACCTGACAAGCTCCGAATTTCTGGGCCCAAAATCCAACATTTCGAAACCAAGACCTCTACAATTGCATCTTCGAGTTTGTATGCATCCTAGAACCATAAGCTTCAGAATCAGAAACTGATAAGTTTCCTCGGTGACATGAACGTCATGTTGCAGCGTTTACTCGTGCTCGTATCGTAGAGCCGCGATTAGGCGCTTGATACCGGTAGCTCTCAGCTTCCCTCTTTGCCGCTCCCCAGGTAGCTCGACGAGTTCCTGGTCCCTGTCGAACTCGATTACCGGTTCTCTGTGCTCCGCGACCCGTGTTCCATCGTCAACTGCACCGTGACTGAACTAAAATATGCGTCAACGCAAATAAGCCTCGCAAGTACCCGGCCTCCGAGCCGTTATCGCAAGGTTAATAACAAGATTACAATCATCGCTCTTTGCATTTTACAACTGAACAAAAACTCTAATCTGTTATCACAAAATTAATAACAAGATTACAATCATTGCTCTTCGCGCGTTCACTTGTGAACAAAAGCTCTAATCTGGTAGCAATCGAATGTTTTTTTACGGCGGGTCATACGGTCAGGATTAATAGCGAAGTCCGAAGTGGAAATTAATCACTATAATTAGCGATGTGATTTATTTCGATAATTAATCGCAGCCGATGAATTTAATTAATGACGGCCAATTATAGTAATTAATTTCATGGTGTTCGCCGATGGATTTAATCGGGCTGGCACCGGATTTCGATCGAGACCTCCAGAAGTCGGCTAACTACCTCGAAATATCGAACCTTTTCGACGAACGCGTACTAGTTGGCTGGGATCACTCGGACACTCGGTTTTCGAGTCGAATTTCCATCAAATTAACTCGGCTCGCGATAAGGCTAGGAATAAACGTTTGTTCTTGTATGGGTGTCCACAAAAACTCGGATCTAATTTTATTAAAACAAGCAGTAAGATCTTAATAAACGTGGGTTGGAGAGAATGGCGTAGAAATCGTGTCAAATTGGTTGTTGAACTAAAAGTGGAACGTATTTTATGAAATTTTCAGTCCGAAAATAATAGCTGATACATTCTATTTAAAAAATTTTAGATCATTTTATAATTTCAGAGACACTTTAACTTAGATTACACTTGTGCTTATTAGATGATTTTATTTCGTAATAAAATAAATGTCACTTGAAACATTTTTTTTAATAATAATTTGGAAAATAATTACTACATTAATTAAAATAAGTCACCCTGTATATATACGTATGGTATATATCCCGTTAACGATGATTGAAGATTTTGGGAACGGTATTACCCTTAATAAATCTTGGCCAAATGACTGCGCCTTTCAGCCAGAGAGAAAATTGGGTAGCAGGCGGGTCGTGCTATTTGAAAGTTCTCAGAACCCGCCGAAGAAAGAGACTTTAAGAATCGATTTCGATAAATTTTCTGTCAGCTCGACCTCTGCACCCCCGATCAGATTAATTGTTACAAAATGGCTTTGTATTCCTTTCCTTTCCTTCGTTAGGGCCAATAACTTTGAATTAAATATGACACCCCAATCTTTCTCCAATCTCCTCCCAAATTGGCTTTTCATTCACTTAAATTCTTCTTCAGATTTGAGAAAAACACAAAGGGATTGTGTTTATTGCCTCCCTGGTATCGTATTACGCGTATAGCAGAGTAGAAGGATGTAACAGGGCCAACGGATGAAGTATCGAATTTGAAGGGTGTATCTTGGGAACTGTACTCTTGCTTATCAAATTAAATTGAAAGGGACAGGGATTTCTAAATTGCTACCCGGGTCGACCGTGAAAACGAACAAAGTTTGACCTGGAAAGAATTATGATCTAGCCTTCCATTTTTCAATAACACACAATTTATACATTCAAATACCTATAAACGACAACTTCTAAAAATGTCAATAAGCCAGGAAGAAATCATATCAACGTTTCTTTTCCTTGAAAGATACATCATTCGCTAATTCTCACACACCATTTTAATCTTACTTTCACCTATACAACCTTCGTTGTTAGACAAACTTTCTACAAGAACCTGCTGCCAGTGAATCCCAAAACTTTCCCACTCTTCTTCTTGATCACCCGGTAGAGAAGCTACCAAGTACTACAACCAGTTAATTGAAGATTAAATTGCTAGGACCGTGTGCAAAGACGGAACGAATTTCATTGGAATAAAGGATGGCGGAGAGCAGGGAGAACGCATTTCTTTTTCCTGGGCAGGGGCGGGTCAAAGGGTAGGGGGTGTGCAGGTCCCGGAGAAAAGGAATTCCAGTCCTAGGCTGCCAAAATAATTTTGTCCCGGCGACTCTGCCAGATTGCGAGCTCATTCTTCCTGCTAATTGCTAACAATTAACCGTGAAACGCGGGTCCGGCTTTCCCGTAAACCGTCTGTGTACAGTACGCGTTAATAATGCGTGGCTAATTGGGCTGCGAGTGGGAAGGGAGGGAATGGGGTGCGCGAGTCGGCCGTTCTCCTCATCGTTGACTCTGCCTATTCCACCCATTGGCTAGCTGGAATCGGTGTACTTCATCCGACTGTTGGCTCGCGCTCTAATTGTCCGGCTGTCTTTTATTGCCAACCACCACCGGCCGAGAACCCGGCTGCGGAACGAAATTCCTCGGAGACCCAGCGGCCAATTCCGAGATCCGAACCCGATATCGCATGCTTCGCTATTGGCTCGAATGGACTCCGCGAAGACGCGAACAATGGGAATATTCGGTCATTCTAGTGTCAAAGAACTTTTGATAGAATTAACACTTTGCAGTCGAGAGTGGCGACTCTCGATCACCACTAGGTTCGATACACAATTCTGAAATTTGATGTTTGGTATCGACTCCTTGACTGTCGAATTTTCTTGGTAAACAGTGTTATTCGCGAGATTGAAATTAACATTAGGTTTACGTGACGCGTCAATTTGACGCATATTGAATTTTATAAATATTATTTTCTAAATGGTTATTTCGATTTCGGCTGATGCAATTACACGAATATGTAACTCAATTATATATTATCAACCCCTGCCCAATCTCCAAATTCTAAATTAACGTATATCAATTCTTCTAGGAACGGTAGAGTAAACTGTGCAACAAATGCCCGTAAACTTAGTATTAAAGATTAGTGTCGTTATTGTTTGCTCACGAACATGAAATTGTTAACATTGAATTTTTAGTAACGAAAGTTTTTCGTTTACATAGAAAAAGCAAACTGTAGTCCTAAGTTTGACAAAATTAATGCGGTTTAATATTGCTCTTCGTGACAGTTAAGGAGTTAAACTTTGTACAATGCAACAATGTGTGGAATACTGAAATGAAATTGCTTTGTTCCTTATGTATGATTTCTCTTCTTGTCAGTTTCAAAAAATTTAATCTATATCTCATCAGAATATGTTGAATATTTCTACTGAAAAACGTTCGAGTGCAACGGGTTAAGATAGAGCAGTGAATGTTTCGTTACATTAAAACCGAGATATTAAATTAGGGAAAATTACGCGAAAAGCTTGATGAATAAGTTTAAACCTTGAGAAACTTGATTAAAATTGATATGTATATTAATCACCGGTTTCTCCTAACTTTATTGTCATTTTCAAAATTGGGATACTAAAAGATAGTTGTCATTAATAATTCAAAAAAAGAAGAATTTTGTATACGTTGTAAACCTACGTTTTTATTATAGAATCACGTGTTTCTTTTACAACTGAAAAAGTAGAAAAAATAATGTTGTTTGTTACATTCATTCATTTTTCGAAATAAATGGCCAATTCTAATGAGTTTTTGTGATAGTTGGAAAAATGGAGGATCTGTTTGTTTGTTACTGTTCTGTTAAACGATTTCGCTGTTAATCCCCGTATTTTTCCACTGGCTTTGATCGCGCATCAAAGATTTAAGTGCTCTGTTTCCAAGCGGTTTATGCTTTACCGAAGAAAAATAGGATTAAATGTCGTTTAAATGACGTGGAAATGCTCGATAAAGGTAACGCGAGATTGTAAATGCGATAATTCTGTTTGTTTTCGGAATACTAGAGGGAAGTGGGTCCTACGCGCACTGGTATGTGTCAATAAACCGGCTGGCAGAGTATCAAGTAGTACGAGTCAATGATATTTACCCCCTTGCCGATAAAACCCGCAATCGTGTATTTTTTCGGGCAAATAATCCCCAATTTTGTATCGGCTGGTAATATTACTCTATGCAATAAGCTTGTCGGTTCAGTAATTGGTAAAACACTCTCATTAAAACAGACCTCAAAAAACATGTAGAGGAAATAAAAAGAAAAAGCACAAATTAAACGGAATTTTCAAAACGCTTAAAGAAACGTTTTGCAACAAAAATTTCTTTTGACGTTGTACTAAAATTTAAAATCATTTTAAAATTTGTCCGTCACATGGTTAATCAGCATCACTCAATTACAAGCGTAGAAATTATTCTAAAAAGGAAATTGCTTCTAAAGAATTGTTATGAAATTGTAATAAATTGGTTTCAGTCATCGTGCAAACATTTTAAAATTCGAATGTCATTCGGATGAAACAAATTTTTCATTAAAAGTTAAAATTTATTGCAATCGATATCATTGGCTAACGCTATTTAATCTTTTTTATACTGAATTGTGTACTGTATAAGCGAATATTTGAATGTCCAGACTTGTAAATCGACAATACTTTCGACCAAATATTCATCAGAATAGTAGACATCATTGACCAGTTTCGCTTCATCCTCTCGTTCGCAAGTTTATTGACTTGCGTCACTGAAAGAGGCCAACTTTCACGGCGCATCAGAAGGATAGGGAAAAAGGATCGTCTGACGGTTCGGTCGCGCGTGTGATTCTTCTTCTGTCAGGCTCCCGAATATTTCGTTCGATAAAGTGCTCGTTCGCCAGAACTTCCGGCACGGACTTAGTTTTCGGACGAAAGTCAGATACGCTTGTTATACGCTGTACAAATGATGAAATCGAGCAGCTCGATCGGGCCGGACTTCGTATCGGGCAACGGCATGTCCAACGGATGGCAGATATCGATTGTGCTTTGACATTTATATTAAAACAGATTCGACTTGTGAACAAACGAGACACGAAAGATGTCGAGTTTCGACAAAAATCTATTGTGAATAAATCACAAATAAGTTTATCATAAAAAAGTAATTTCCCTTCAAAAAGACTTTATTAGAAGTTTTACTACTTTTTATAATACTGGATCAGTTGCATTCAAAAATTTAATTAAGCTTATTCCATTTGATGTTTTCTTTTAATTAATAGACAACGGATCCTCATATTGTAGACTAAGCTGTAGACAAAATACGTTAGGATTTTAATTAAATGAAAAGAGAACTTCGTTAAGTAAATGTGAAAATATAAATATTTATATTTGTGTCAAGATCTAAGGTTTGCAGTAAAAATGTTTACTTCGATAGGTTATTCTTAAAATTAGAATAAAAATCATTTTTTTCCAAGCATACATTGTCTTGTATTTTAAAATTTTTCCATAAATTCATGAAGATCCGCAGTCTGCTTAAATATATCAACGTCTAGCTTCAAGCACAAGGTGTGTCAGCAGCATAAGGGTGACACGGCACTCAAAGTGTTAATAGCACGTTCACGGGCAAACAACCGCTCATAAAAATCCCATAAAATCGAGGAAATTTGTTTAATGAAACTGACACTGAAAAGTCGAGATTTATCGTAGCGATCTTCTATCCTTTCTGGATCTGGCAGATAATAGCAAAATTTGAATTACTGAATACGTCAGCGTAGACATAAATTTTTGTTCCTATATACAATACATTTCTCATAAATTAGTTTGTCATTTTTCAGTATTAAATTACATTCTAAATTATATAATTTATATAATTTTTTAGAAACGCCGGTTAAAGTATTTCTGTTTATAAATTCTAAATCTAAATCCAATTCAAATTACCAAAACTAGCAAACATTAGGTAAATCGTTTAACAAGTATATATACATATATATGTATATCATTATGGAGAACATAAATACATATGTATTACATAAGGGATCTGATACAGATTATGACAACCCTTTAAGAATTGATACGATACCTTCGACATAACCTCTCAGTGATTACGAATTGAATTGGTCACTAAACGCTGATGAGAAATTAACCTGAGCACACTGATTCTCAAACATGGCGGCATAGCTATACAGCATTAGGTGAATTAATTCGTGATCTAGTTCAAACAGCATTCAAATGAGTTCATTTTCGTTGGAGTCTTCTTATTCATACTGGAAATAGTTGCAGAGACACTGTGACTTCTTCAAGAACGCATTTTTTCATAAGATGAAAGAAACAATTTAGTACCTGATATAGTTAGATTTAACTCAGTTGAAGTTCACGGAAATTATACATTCCAGGTCCATCAAGTTGTCTGTTTTGTATTTCTTCTAACACGACATTTTAAAACGTCTTCACTGACCTATGATGCAAGGTCAAGGTTATTAAAAAAAATCAATTTCTCTTAGATTTATTTTCTCAGAAAAAAGTCAATAACTTCAAATTATGATAGATACCTCTGTCCACAACAGAACCAAGCAAAAACACTTTCAATCTCAAATTCTTCAACCCAAAAAAAACTATCCAAATACATAACCCGAGAATATTAACCACAGAACCTCTTTCCAATAAAACCCTCCACTCACCTCAACACACTAAACCAACTCCCAAAAGAATACACGCCGCAACCAACGAATCAAGAAAAAAATTCAAATCTACCATAGACTTCCAAAACAAAAATTACGTCCACAATTCCGCAGCGAGTGTCACACAACCTACTATCGTATTTCCACACGACCCTTTCCCGAAGGGTGCCCGAGAGACACGTAACCGAAACCGTTACCACCCCCTTCACCCATCTACAATAAACAAACCAAACATACCAAATATACCAAAAACCAACAAAAAAAAAGAAAATCAACCGTTAAAACCGACAAAAGCCAAAGGAAATAAAACGAAACCGTATCCCAATTAAAAGACCCACGAAAGTAGCTAGTAGAAGAAGGCTGAGGCTGGTGTGTTGTGCCGATATGGTAGCAGGTGAAAGGCATCCTCCGCCCCCGGAGAATTGTACGATCAGAGAAGAGAGTCGGACGACGGTGAGGGTGAGCTGCGCCGAGAGCGAGTTCTTCGACCCGCGCACTGCCACCTATGTGCTGCAGGTCTTCGACGCGGACACCAGGCGTTTGCTGGCGTCCGCGACCAGCATGACGCCTAGCATGCTCGAGATCACCGATCTGCCCGCGGAGAGGAGTTACTCGGGCCTGGTACTGTCCCTGAGGATCATGACGGAGCACGCGATGAGCGACGCCACCGTTCTTCACAGCCCGCACTTTGTTCAGGAGGGTAAGACACCGGAGCATCAACGATACCCAGGTAGGGGCCAGCTAGTGTTCGATTTCGAGTCATCGTGCGCCATGGCGGACCGTCCACAACCACCCCCACCCGACCCCCAAACCCCTTAGTATCCACCGCTCCGACGGGTAACACGATCCTTTATGACAGGGGTGTCTAACCGGTCACACGCTACCCGACAAAGCTCTATCCTCTTTTCAGCTAATCGAAAAGAAAGAGCCTATACTCTTGACAGGAAGTGATCTCTGGAACACAGTGGCAACAAGAGACTTGTCATGTTTTTATAGTTTCGATTGATTATGTGCACTATATACCTCTCACGTTAGCTCCATCGGCCGTAGGCTTAAAAGTGCACAGGGGCAGGGGAACTCTTCAACTCATAACGCTGGAGACGACTTGGCTTTCGACGTATGGCCATTACTGGCGCGCGCCGAGGCCCGAGTGCTGTGAGTGGAAGAGTCCCCTTGCCCCTATGTATTTTTAAACCTAAGGCTGATGGAGCTAACGAAAGAAGCGGACTGTAACTGGTGTTATAAAAACGATTTAAAAGCTGTAGCTGCAGCTCAAGCTAAGGGCTTAAGGTTTGAAACCTAAAGTCTTCAACGGTGGAGTCTTTGCGCTTTACGTTTCAGTCTTCGAGTATAAAAATTCGAACTTTAAGCACACCTAGGGTTTGAATTGAGTCTTACCACGCGTTACTGACATGGTACCAGCCGGCCTGTGCCTTAAAAGTGAAGATGGACAAAGGGAAACGTCCACTCACGTCGCTCAGCCTTATAGTAATGGCGGTGTTAGTTTCGACACGTTTTTATTACTGGCCAAGCCGCGATTTGAGGTGGAACGTGCGATCTAATCCCCTTGCCCCTCTTCACTTTTGAGCCCCAGGCCGGCTGAATCATGTCAGTAACGCACTGCAACTTTACTTTACTTATCCTTTAAGCTTTGAAGCCTTGAAACTTCAGAGACTCGAAGTTTTTACAATACTACATGTAACTGTATTGAGGAATAATAAACTAGTATCAAAAATGGGATGAGAAAAGATGTAACCTGACCAATTAGACATGCATTCCTATAGAGATCAATTCCTATGCAACGAAGAGTACTCTAGTAGGGGACCGGTTGATTGAAAGTTCATCGTTGGAAATGAGACAGTTAGACACCCCTGATGTATGATTTGTTTGAGGCTTTCACAACTAGGAATTCTATGATGAATGTTCTTCAAAGTTTCCAGGTCTAAATCGTGTCCATTCGGAAAGATTTTGAAAAGCGTATCAAGGAATTTGGAAAGCCTTGATGGTGCCAGCTGCAACGCTGGCGGAACGTTTGGAAATCTCCTTAATGGACACTGCTTACACCTAGAAACTTCGAGGAACACTCAACATGATCCTAGTTCGTCGTATATTGTCCACTCGCATGAATCGTCGGTCACGTGAAACTATTCCCCTCGCCATTCGCCGGGAACACCGTGGACCACTTTTAGGCTTGATCCACAGTACTAGACTGTTAGCTCTTCCCGAGGGTGACTGTAGTTATACAACGTTGATTGATTGCTGTGCACTGAAGGCAATTATAGTCGCCTATTGTCGAGTGATTAATGTATGTTATTATTTACTGTAATGAGTGATTATTAATTATGAATTATGCATTAATTATTAATTAATAATCACTAAGTAATTATTGATCACCTGTCATCGAAATTTTCTACGCAGAATTGTATCATTGAATAATTTGAGTTTCGAAATATCCAATTTTTGCGTATGGTAATTTCTTCTACTTTCAACTGTAATGCACATGTTTACTTGTTCTGTTCTACGCGATACACTATGTGTGTATCAGACAGATGATTCAATAGAATCGTTTACAGATACCTTGTATATACCTTCTACCCACTGAACTAGTCGCGATGGATAGGTTCAAAAATCCATATCGGTAAAGCGAATATCCAAGAGCAATATTCTTTGCAGTCAGAGGAGTCAAGCGAGCTTCAAGCACCTCTGTTAAACCAACTGATTAAAAGGAGACTCTTTTTCCATTTGGTCATCAAACTGAGCGCCTGAAGTGCTCCATGAGTGTCTATGGCGTCTGGAGAAAGTGTGTTAAATGTATACTAGGTGGGTCAACTGAGATTTAAACCGAAAATATCTTCGCTGCTCTTATCACGGAAAATCTTCTTTATCGTAATATCATCTTCTTACCAACAAAACATTTTAACTAAATATTTGTTAATTAATTCCTTTGCATTACTACCATTTTGACTCTGAATAACGAATATGATGCATAAATTGTAGCTTAATAAAGTATGAATATTTTTATTATTGTTGATTATGTGTAGATAGAAATAAGGAAGATAATTCACATTCGAATTTTAAACAGCCCATCCTATATTCGCTATTCACCCACGCATTTCCTGTCTGGTTAGTAATCTCTACTTTAGTAACCGACTTACCCGAGTACTAATTTTTATATTTTCTTCTACACAATTTCTTACCTCTTTGCGAGAATTTGACAGAATGATTTTGGATCTCAATTACTTTAACACTCTCGCGTCGTTTTCAGCTTTGACAATCAAATATTTTCTCAGAAATATTGCAATATTAAAATTCGAACTAACGCAGACATTTCGGTTGTTAACACATAGGTCGAAGTCGCTCCGTGTAGATTAGTCTAACAGAGAATTTAGTTGTGTTGTCGGAAACAGGAAATATACGAAATCGACAAAACATGGAATCAGCGAGCAAGCGAGTTTACCGGCTTGATGTACTCGACTCGTTATGCTTGTCATGACTCGGCTCGATCGTTGGCAAGTTCCCTTGAGACCGAGCAGTGGGTAAATTACACAGCTCCGTGTAATCGACGCCTTAAAGATAGACGCCACGGATCTGTAATTCCACAAAATTTGATTAAAGTTGAAATTTTCGAGCTGGACTCCTTTTCTTGTAAAAAAAAACTGATTGAATCCTTTGCAAAGATTTCATGTTGGAAATCATTAGGTAATCAAATTAGTTCGCACGGTTTTCATGGCATTTTATCAATACCCCTCTCCTTTTAAATCAAAACAGTTGCCATTACTTTCGAGGATTTGCTCCGAACATAATAGTACATATATTTCTTACACGTTCCATTTTGGTTCAAATTTGTTTTACATCCACTTATTTTATTGTTTGTCTATTGTTTGAATTGAAATTCATTTTTGCACCAAGATGATTTTAATTAATTTCCGTCAAATTTAGTGCGATACTAACTTCAATTATGTATTACAAAAAAATAGACGTTAGTAAAAAGAAAATAACGGTGATTTCGAAATTACATTTAAAATAATCTTAAAAACGATTCTTCGAGTAATCATTTACTCGTTATTTCGAACATTTGTATCGATTCCCGATAGAAACGAACAATAGAAACCACTCGCCCCAGAATCGGATGAAACGCAGCCGTTTGCATTCTTGATCGTCATCTTGGGGAACAACGAAACGATTTCAGTGTATGCCAGTGATTCCGACTCCGGAATTCTAAAGCGATAGATTCTCGACGGACGCAGTTTGCCCCCGGTATATTAAATCTGGTTCAAAACTGCGTCACGGAATTAGCCATTCGGGTTTAGGTTGGCGAGTTCGGCTGAACTAATCACAAATTGAAAGCCGTTCGGAATTGCGTTCGAACTAGTTAGCCTTCCGGTCTGACCTGCGTAGGTTATACCGCGATCTGGAATTTTAAATTGTTCCCGTATACGCTTGGAGCACGCGAAAGTTAAGGATCAAAGCTCGCTTCGAAATTTATTATCGACGATCCACTGACGAAGCCTAACTCAAAAGTATTTTCCCTAACTCTTCACAATTCCGTCTAAATTCGAAATTTATAACTTGCTTTGGAGATAATGAAGGCTTTTGTAGATCCAAAATACATAGAATATATCGTAATTATTAGCATAATTGAGTAAAGCAATGATTCTACGTGTAAAAATGAACAAAAGTAGAATACAATTGTATTGTGCGATCCTGTTCCAAGAAAATCGAATTTGAAAACTCATTGATCACGAATATTAACGTTAAAGGTGACTAAATTCATTATTTTGACCTTTTCTGTATTTTCATAAAATCTTCTATATCCAATCAAATTGAATATACAATAACCAAGCATTCCAAAAATTCTACCATTCTACGGCTACGACTGAATATCATGTCACCGTCGGACACAAACAAAACAGAAACATCCCCGAATTCAGCAACAAACGAGAATCTCGCGTAAACAATTCTCCCAAACTCTCGTGCCCGATGAGTTTTCAAATTTGCTTTCGAGGTATTAAAGCACCGCGCCAGGAGACATTACGTTCTACATTCTCGACTTTTTTCCTCCCGTGGAAACACCTGCAACACGGTTCTATTATGAATTGTAAAAATCAGTACACAGCTCGTAACTGCTTCCAGTGAAAAGACCAATTTACACGGAAACTGCGTTCTAGTCGCCTCACGTATGGGTTCCCTCGGTTTCATTGCACAGCCAAAATTCGGCCAGCCGCGCGGTTTAAATCTATGCCAAAGGCATTATGCAAAGCAGGATCCGATCTTGAATTAGCCAGTGCTATCGGGATGTCAAATTGTACTGTCAAACTGCGCGCCGATACCCGGAGTCCCGGAATTCACGAGGACCAAGCATAATCCAGACTTAATCCGGGATCATGTAAAGATCAATTGGCCAGCCGGTTTAATCATTAAATCATTGGATCATCCCGGTGGGATCCGATTGCAAAACCTGATCGAAAATTCCGGCTCGGATAGTGGGCCAGGAAATTAATCGCGTCGAGCTGATTCGCGAATGACGTGGGCCGCGTCGTCATCAGGATCGGCTCGTCAAAGCTGACTCGGGGATCTCCAGCTTGTACCGCGACCTAAAACTAATCCGAAAGCGGGCAACGACCCGAATAGAATTCAATTTTCCCGGTAAACCGTTGGATCACCTTATCGGATCTATCTATCAACATCCTGGGACACAATCCATGCTTAATCTACCAGCTGATCGTCGGT